TGCATGCATGTGTATATATGTCGTGTAGGCATATATGTTTGTGTGTGCATGTATGTGTGTATGTATGCACTGACATGAATATTTAGAGGTCAAAGAAAAACTTAAAGGGGCTGATTCTTTCCTTCTACCACAAGGAATCTTGGGATCATAGATCAGATAACCAGGCCCGGCAGCACGTGCTTTTACCCACTACGCTGTCTTGATGGGTTCAGAGATTGATGCTTGAGGGATGTTTCATCTTGACTTACACTCAAGCAGGTGTTTGGGGAGAAGTTATGGAAACAGTATTTTTCCAGAGAGCAATTCTGGGTCAAGGCCTGGTCCTTCCCTCCAGCTTCTCCCACGGGTGAGCACTTACATGGTTCTTGTTGGAGTTGACAGCTCTTGATACCCCAAACTCACCTTGGTTTATAGAGCTCCACCGCCGGCTTCTTTATTTGCTCCACATAAGGAAACCCCATCCAAGTATGATAGCTGTGTGCCTTCCCTGCCAGCCACACAGGGAGCAGGAGTTCTCCAGACTCCACTAGGGCTACAAACCTTCTTGAATAGGTTTGTTGTGTTCTTTGTCTGGTTGTGAACCCATGAAGTAATCTAAAACACACCAAGGATTCATTTGCAGAAAAAAAAGGCATCTTTGGAAGGAAGCGCTAGTGAGTTGTAAGGAACCCACGAACACCTGAAGAACTGCCCATATCTTATTCCACTGTGCTGCATCTCAGGAACTCATACCGAAATTCTGTCCCCATTATACATGGTTGCTCCTACTCCGTCTTCTCCTCTCTAGTGCTGGGCACCCATGATCACCCCCAGCAGAACTTACCTAAACTGAAAAAACAGAAATAACCACAATAGTTTCTTTCCAGAAGTTTCCATCCTGCCACACAGCCACCAACAGTTTGTTTCCTCTGGCTGCCTTCCTGTTACTAGGGATGTTCTCCCTGGTCCCTGTGCTGAGGTTAGCCTCTCTACCCTCTGCATAGGAGATCATGGAGAACTGAGAGTAAGTTTGCCCCAGCACCAATTTTACCCTCTCCGTTGGATCTTTATCATTTTTATAACAATTAACAAACAAAGTTGTCACTCCCTCCCATGCCACCTTCCTCCCTCCCAGCAAAAAAAAAAAAATATTGCTTTGCTTCATAAGAAAAACCCTTCAAAGTAATAATTCTTTTTCACATTGCCTTATATCGTCCTGATGTCTCCGTAACTGATGAAGCTCTTTACCTCTTTCATGCACCATAACTATAAGGTGACTACTGACGTCCATGGTCCAAGTCTGTGCAGGCTTCTTATTCCTGAACAATCTAGGTTTGTGGTGATCTCTCCCCTCTTCTGGCCATCCACTTAACTAACACCTGACTCACAAAGGGCGCATGTTCCTGGTTGTCTCTCACTTCCCAGCCTTTCTGGTGTTTCTCCCCTGCCTCATTGACACGTACGTGGACTCCTGCCTCAGGTCTGCTTTATGTGCACTCCATCCTCCCTTGCTTCATGGTCTCTAGGAGTCTCAAGGTTTGGATTCTCTCTCAGCACCGGTCACTCCCAAGTTTAAAGCCATAGCTGAATCGTGCCCTCCTACTCCTCCCCCGACCTTTCCCCCTACTTCTCCCCTGACCTTTTTCCTGGCACCTATTACTATCTGACAAGCTATAGTTTCCCCTTCCATCTTATTAGCATCTTTCTCCTTCCCCCAGATGGAAACATGGGAGGAGGAGAAAACGTGTGGCGTATTTACTGGTGAGCTCTCAGCATATAGAACACTCCTCACTGCAAATAGAGACAGCAGATACCTATAAATTAGCTGCAATAATACGTTCTAGCCTCGCCATCAAAGGAAAAATACCCCTGGAATTTCTCCTCTAAGGCAAGCATAAGATGAGGAAGTTCTCTGGCTTTCCACCACCCACACCTTAATTCCAAGAATGGAGTGATCTGAATTCTGTAACTGAGCACACAGCAGAGCAGGACCCAGGCTCAGCAAGCTGCCACAGAGCTGTCAAAGCTGGTCTGTGGTGTTTGTTTTTGTTTGTGTTTGTTGTTTCATTAGTCCAAGGATTTAAAATGTTTTCACTTCAGTGGTTAGAAAAAAAGAAATAATGATATTTCCTGGCGGGTTTAGTTTCTTTATTATACAGCACTCATTTTTTTTTAATGCTGCTTGCAGCTGTAGAGGACCTATCCAGTTGGAAGGGGTATGGGTCTCTGACTTGAAACTACCAGGTTCTGCGTGTGTCCTTCTAGCTGTGTAACAGGCAGGAGGAGCTGGCTGCTTGTCGTCCCAGCCTCCCAGCTATCTCACACCCGAAATAATTACACAGAGACTTTATTCATTTAAACACTGCCTGGCCCATTAGCTCTAACTTCTCATTGGCTAACTCTTACATATTAGTTTAACCCATCTTCATTAATCTGTGTATTGCCACGTGACTGTGATTTACCTGCAAGGTTCTAACCAGCGTCCGACTCAGTCAGGAGATCCACGGCGTCTGCCACTCTGCCCTTCTTCCCAGCATTCAGTTCTGTCTACGCTGCCTACATAAGTTCTGACCTATCAACTAGGCCAAAGCAGTTTCTTTATTCATTACCCAATGAAAGCAACATAGTTGTTACCTACAAACAGGGATCCTGAGTGTGTCTGGAAAGCTGTCAGAGATTCCAGACATTTTCTAGCATGAAGGTGGCATGTGTCTGACAGAGCAGTGAGGAGAAGGCCGCCATGGTCAACACCATGGACAAGGCATGTCGGCCTGCTCCTAGCCCACCATCAGGTGGAGTCCCATGAGTGGAGCTGGCTTAATCCATGCCAGGCCATGTTTTCCCATCTCCACAGCAAGGGATCTCTGAATCCAAGATGCCTTTTTTCCTCTGAGAAAAAGTAAAACCAGCGGTGTCAAGAGATACAGCCCTGATCTTCTCAGGGACAGCGCCTTTCTAGTCAGTGGACAATCCCTCATTTTCGCTTTTAGTGTCGAAAAGCTGGCTCTATTGAATTCCATATTAGAATAGGAAAGGAGACAGAGTTAGAAAGGCCTTGGATCCTTGCCTTCCGTGTAATCAGGGCAACACCTTGGGAGAGAGTATCTGTCCCTTCCACGTCATGTAGCTTTCTTTGACATCGCTACATAATATGCATCCTATACCTAATCATCAGGTTACAGACTCAATGGCCATAGTTTTTCTAGTTTATTACCTAATTCAACCTGATACTGATAATGCTGGGCTTCAGCTCACAGGCAAAGCATAAAGCCCTGGCTTCAGCCTCAGTATCGCAAGAGAATGTCCTCCAAGTCCAAATTTTAAAACATATATTCAACATGGTTGTATCTACACGTTATTTTTTGCTGTGAGGACAAAAGGTATTTGTGATATCTGTCTTTGAACATGTGTGTGCCCGTGTGTTGCTACTGACAACAATAAAGGAAAATATAGTTAAGCAAATGGAGCTGGAAAAATTGGTCATTCATATGGAAAAAAATGAAAGTGGATTTCCTACTTCTTACCATACACAAAAATAAAATCCAGATGGATTAAGAACTTAAATGTCAAGAGTCAAACCTTAAAACTTTTAGAATTAAATATAAGGGAGCAGCTTTATGACCTCGGGGCAGAGAAACATTTCTTCAGCATGACACAGAATGTGCCAAATACAACAAAAAAAGAATCACTCGTTTGATTTTATTAGTTTTTCTTTAAAGGACCTTATTCATCAAATGACATCTTAAATAAGGCAAAAGACGCACCACAAACCGGGGGGCGGGGGACGACTGCGACTTAAAATTCACAGGAGATTAGTGTCAAGAATCCACACAAAACAGCACAAAATACCACTTCAAAAAACAGTTTAAAATAGGAAAAAGGCAAACTGTCTGAGATTTTAAAAAAATGGGGGAAGATATTTGTATAATTTATGTAATCTGGATTTTACAAGTTTACTTACATATATGCATAATACGTATGAAGGTGTGTATGCATTTATGTAAGTATATGTGTCTAAGTATAGATTATGTACATACATGCATATATATGTATACACTAGATGGAGTTTTGACACGTGGGGTGATGATGGCTCTCCCCACAGAGCTCTGCACCACCTAACTAAAACCTAGTGCCAAAGCACGGGGAATCTCTCTTCAAGGTGTGGGTTGGGGGGACGCAAGAGTCTCCCCAAACCGCATAGACTACTGCCTTTGTGCTTGGTTGCCTTCAAGAATTTGATGAGAAGATTCTGTTGCTGAAGATACCACGCACTCTGGACACAGGACCTGGAGGAATAAGGCTGGCACTGTTATGGAAACCTCGCCTCCTCTCTGAGGATTGGCCCTCACAGTATCAGAGGATGCCATGGAAGCTGCCAAAGAGGAGAAGCAGTCAGTAGTCCCACCCAGCTGTAAGACCT